GCTTGGGACAGGCAAAAATCCTTAAGCAAAATGACAGTTAAGTTGCAGCACTCTTTGCACATATTTGTTCTGGATTTCTGGTGCCCACATGGGATGCCAAATAACTGGTCAGATCCCCCAAAATAAAAATACATTGGAGGTACTAAATGCATAGACTGTATACGTGGGCATTGTCTGCTTGAAGCTGTGGTCAGGCCTGGTATGTTCTGAGCCCAGTTTCAGTGACCTTTCTTTGTCTCCTGAAGGTACAGACATTTACAGCTGGAGATGGGGCAGAGGGGCTGCCAGTGGTATAGCTAAACAGTGCCAGGGTGGAATTCTTTTGTTTCTGCCCTGATCCCAAGTCCCAAATACATTCATGAAGTCGACTCTGCCACTTGGCTGTTTTAGCGTAAGGTTGTCACTGTGTTTCTAGTGCAATTTGAAACTGAAATGGAAGTGTTGAGAATCTATCCTGGTACAGGTTAGATTGCTTTTAACACAATTCTGTGGCAGAGCTGCTGGAATGGAGAGCAGCTGATTAGTATGCTTAGGAGATACAAGTTAAGCTTTGGGCTTTTTTATCCATTTTGCCTGTAGCATTCTTGCAACTGGCTGGAAATTGATATATTTTCCCAGTTTGTTTTTGCAGTCATTAGTAATGTACTTACTTTCTTCTCTCCTGTGCTTTCTGCTGCCCTTCAGATCCATCATGGAATTAATTGGTGAGGAAAAAAGATCAGGGAAAAAAATTTGTCCACTGCACATGGCAGGAGTTTGCTGGCAGTGCTATGTCAGGTCAAGCACAGAATCGTAACGCACCTTTATCTGCTCCACGTTTCTTTCTTCAGGATAGGATGTACAGGTTTTGTCTGGAAAATAAGGCCTATGGCCAAGACTGGAAACACTGGCTACTTAGCACTAGGGAGGAGAGGAGAGATTAAGGTTGAACAAGCAAACAGGGGAAGAATACAGTGAACAGTAGACAATAGAAATGCTGTCTATGCTGTCCTGGAAAAAGGGTAAACTGGTCCTAAGAGGTCCTAAGCCACTGTTTGGAGGCTGGGAAAGAGCCACTGTTTGGAAAGCAGAGACTGGGATCTCTTGGAAAGGGCAGGGATTGATTGGATTAACTAGGGCAGCATTGGAAGGCAAAACTCATCAACAAGGAAATGAGGTGGGGCAAGGCTTTTTTTAAGTCCTCTTTGTTGTTTAGTCTTGCCTGGGGGATTAGGTGCTTCGAGTTCCTTAGAAGAGGCTTGAACTTTCTCTCTGCCCCTTTGTCCCAGTAAAAGCTGTGTCTGTACCTCCTGGTGTGGCCCTTCCTGGAGCCTGGAGCTTGGTCCCAGCACATTGCATAGTCTTGGATCATGTGATCTTCTGCCCAAGCCCTCCTCCTCACCTCATGCCCATTCCTAAAGCAGACCAAAGCGTTTAGTCCTCTCCTGTGTTTCTCCTGCAATTCTGTTTTCTTCTGTTCATTGGTTTATTCTAAAATTCAAGCTGTATCTGTTTATTCCTTGTAAAATTCCCACATGCACATCTGAAGGGAGGTTTCTGTCGCGTCTGCATCTTTAATTTAGAGACACGTGCTCTGGGCCAGGCAGGGCAGTGCAGTGTCTGAGGCAGTAGCAGTGGGTTTATGTGTGTCCAATCTCTGTTACTGTGCCTGGAACCAGTTAGGAATCTGCTGTTTGCAAACACAAAACATGTAACTTTTAAGATCATGGCAGTCAGGATGCAGAAGTGGGCCTATGTATGTCTCCAAATGTTAATCTACTGTATTTTTCTTCCATTTCTTTTCCTGCCTTTCTCTTTCCTGAGGTCCTTGTGGGGTAAAGTTTAGTATCCAGACATCTCTGGGTTTTTTTTCATGTCAGCAGGTCTCCAAGAGCCAATTCAGGCACTTTCTTCCTTGTTATGTGTGTCTGAAAGCTACTGCATCCTTGGTGGGCTTGCACAACCTCTTACCACGAGCTTCCTGACAGAGTCTTGAGCTTGGTGGCCTCACCTTTTACCAAGATCTCCCTTCTGGGTATTCATCTGAGGCAGAGGTGTTGACATCCCAATACCCCCAACGAGTGAGTAGGAAAGTAAGAGAGGACTGTAGAGATGATGGAAAGCTCATTCATGGGACAGTTATGGGACCATAGGAGTAGAGGAGAGTCACCTGTGCCATGACAGGATAAGCTATACAGCTGTAGAGCAAGTAATCTGTGGGGGAGAAGGAAGAGATCCCATAGCAGTGTTCATCATAACTGTTTAACAGACAGATGTGGGAGATACAGTCAAGGTTCACTCCAAAAGCTCTTCATTCAGAGCTTGCACCCATGTTTCTCTCTTAGGAGTCCTACCAGCTACTCCCCTCCTTTACCTCCTTCTGTCTAACAACAGGGCTCTTCTGGACTCAAACCTATGTCTAAGTGTGGCTGGGAAATAGAACAAAGTTGTGGTGTCCTGCCAGGTCCTGCCTCTGGTCACCTTCCTTCTCCCATGCCACGTGCTGCCTTATTTCCCAGTGCAGCTGTGGCCACTGCCTTTTGGCTGGTGGTTCTTCTAATTAGGTCCTTGGGAAGAGGCAGAACTCAGCTGAGAAATTTGTAGCTAGAAACATCAAAGGAGAAGGTGAAATCAGGGAGGAAGGAAGATTTTTTTCAGGCTATTGATGAGCTGGTGTTTAAGCAGGTCAAAACTACCATTTGATGTTGATCCCTGAGCCGTTTCTGAAGCTGCTTCTGTTTTGTACTTCCAGGCTGCCATCAGGGTGGGAATTGGTGCTGGGATGTTTGATCAGGAGAGTTGTTTCTCTCCCTCCTTGTCTGCTGGTCAGACACATGGTTCTCTACGGTTCCTGTGTGGGGGAGAGCTGTGCTTGCAAGGTGAGGGTCGGGGTGGGTCAGCCAGCAACTTTCATGTTTCTCTTGTTTCTCGTGGCTTGGTTGGTGCTGTCACTGCTGAATCTCCTACTGTGACAAGATCTTCCCCACCTTCCCATGAGGCTTGGCGTAGGAATTAGTGTGTCTTGTAAGAACAAAAGGGTATCCACATTGGGCACTCCCATCTTTTGACAGCAGCCAGCAGGGAAAACCTGGGCAATATGGCAACACTTTCCTTACAATGCCTTAGCTGGGCATTTTGAAACTTCAAGTGCCTACTAACTGTTATGAAAAACAGACTAGTAATCTGCAGAAGTAGAAGGCTGTAGATATCACCATTACCAAATCTAGTGAGTCCCTCTGTTCTTCCAGCCCTGAGAGGTTCTGCAGACATTCCCTCTGCCCTTGCTTGTGAACCTGTCCCAGGGGCTTGGGGCTGCTTATGTGTTCATTTACATCAGGCTGGAATGAAGGCAACAGTTGACCTAGAGATATGTTGCTACTGATAAATTTTAACTTCTGTCTGAAATAGATTATGGGCACTTTAGACCTCAGGGCTGAAGTCTGAAAGATCAGTCTCAAGGAGCATCCTGTGCTCCTGACCACATGTCTCCCTGGCCTGATGCTGACTTGGTTTGGTTCAGTTAAAGGAGCAGAAAGCTGCCCTGGGTGCAGGTTTGTCTGGGGGGATACATGCCAGTGCTGGGGGAGGCAGGGTGGAAGGAGCAGCAGCAAGCCCCTGGGTAAACTAAGCCAAAGCTAAGCTCTCATTTGCCTGCCCCATGAGCTGCTCTGTGCTGGAGTCTGCCCACTGTTGTCTCTGTGCCAAGTTTCCAAATGTCATGTGTTGATAATGCTGCTAGTATTGATACTGCTTCACTTTCCGTGTCGATCTTTCCAGAGGAAACAGCCCTGGCTCTGTGTCATTAACATAGAAGTTGATTACAGTTGATTTTTTTTTTTAATTTAGTTCCATTAGGGACAAGCAATCCAATACTGCATTCACTATTCCCTGGAGCAGGACAGCACTTTCCAGGCCTCTTCCCTGCTCCCCAAAACATCCCCCGAGCATCCTGCCAGCATCACTGCAGAGTTTGAGAGTGTGTCTGCAATCCCTTTAGCAGTAGGTGGGGTGTTGGCATACAGAGGCCTTTGAGTGGTGTTCTGGAGATGTTGCCTGTACAGGCATGCAGTGGAAGAGGCTGCCAGTGTGCCAAGACAGCAGATTTACTGAACAGAGTGTTTACTAAATGAAGTCAGGGCTCCTTCCCTGATGCATGGCCTAGCAAAGGCTGAGGGCTGCCCACCTTAGGTGTGGCTGGCTATACTTCAAGGTTTTTGACTATTGCCTGACATGTTTAGCTGGAATATGTATTTTGGTGAAATCCCAGCTTGATTATAGATGCTAAAGTGCTATTTCTGCCTGAGGGAAGGTTTTTTGAGGAAGTGCGGGGAAAAGCGGATGTGTGACTTTCAGCTTCCTTATCCTTGAATCTCAGGCTATACAGCTCTCTGGACAATGGCGGCAGGCTGGTCCTGCCTGCTGAAGGAGTATCCTCTTTGCTTCCTGAGTGTTCAGCCTTGCTGAAAAGGCAGCCTGAGGTCGCTGCTTGCCAGTGTTAAAGGGGTGCATTCAGTCAGGACCATCCAGCAAATGCCTTCCCTCAGGTCTAGATTGTAACACAGCCTTTAGATGCTAATTTTGCAAATCTCCCAAGAAGAAATAGGAAAGCTGTTAGCTGGGAAGAATACTTGTATGGATCTTCAAGAGTTTTTCTAGGATTTCTCACAGTTTCACCTGTGCTTTCATTGTATCCTTGCATTGGTGGACACCTGTGAAGAAGGGAGTGGTTCAGGAATACATTTTAGGTAGTCTTTTCTTAGTCTGGGCAAGTTCAAGTCCATGTTGCTGTTGGAATAGTCGCTGCCACAGGAAATGGTGGGATACAGAGATCAGGCTTGGATGTTACTTTTGGGTCAGCTGTCATGTTTAAAAAGTAATAGTTCATGTTTTTCTGCAAAGCACTGATTGGTATAAGCATGGGTGCTTCCGAAAGGGAAGTTGTTGGAGTGAAGTATTTGGTGACCCTCTAGCAAACTAGAGGCAGGGGAAATAATGACAGGAGGAATTCTCTCCTCTTCCAGCTCTCTTCTGCCTTCTGCTGTGCCCCTGAATGCTTATTCCTTCTCAACTAATGAAAGAAGAGGATGAAACTTGTCCAACCTGTGCCTCATGTGCCCTCTGGAGAAGAGAGGACTTAGTGAGTAAGCTCTTCATGGAAGAGAAGTGATCCTCTTGCCTTCTTGGAAACATCTCTTCTCCTTGACTGCCCAGATGGGCTTTCTGTGGGCTTTGGGTTTGCCGTGGCAGCCCTGTACCTGTCAGCTGGGAGACAAACCTCACTGTACATTTAATGGTGTCCTGTGGATGTCCAGCCTCCTTTAATGTCCTTGTTTCTGCCCCTTCCCTTGCTGTTCTTGCTTCTCCCTTTTCTTACTGTGCAGGAGCTTCATCCTTATCTTCCTGTCATTTGAACCTGTCATTTCAGCCAGTTTTGGTATTCTTCTCTTGACCTTCATGGCTCAATTCTTTCTCCTTCGCTGTGGAGACATTTGTGATGTAATCTTTTCTCTCCACTCTGTGCCGCGGAAGCTCATGTACGTAACTCCCACTTATTGCTGGTCTTGTTTTGTTTTTACCCTGAAGTTACGTAGCTGCACAGTCTACTCAGTTCAGTTTCTGGCTGACGTTGTATTGCCTGGAAATATAATTGAGTATTGATCACAGGGCATTCAGCTGTCAAATGAGTTAATATATTAATTCTGTGTAACAGTGTGTCGCTCCAGTAATGTCTGTTACCTCCTGGCTTAGGTAGCTTGAGCGTGTGTTGAGAGGAAGGGTGTTAGAGGGACCTTGGAGCAGCATGCTGTGTTTGCTTTCAGTTTTTGTCTTTTAATAGTTATGAGTCCCTTCACCAGTGGTGGTCTGGGCATTGCTGTTTTGCTGGTGCTGTTGTTTCTTGCCTGTTCCTGCTCGTTATTCTCTGCTGATCATAAATTTCTAGAAGCCTTTAACTACCTCAGTGGTTACTTCAAAAGCTGTTGGAAGCCAGGTTGGAGTACTCCCAGTTAACATCACGCTTCTGGGGGCTTCCTGGGAAAGGGCACCACCTCCCCTTCCTCAGACAGAGCATCAATCTGTCCTGACCTGATTCGGGAGCTGAGTAGCTACTTGCTGGTAGATGCCTTCCTCTGTCAGGCTTCCACATCACAGGGAGTGCAAATAAATTCAACTTGTCCTCTTTACTCCCTGGAGGTTTTCATTGCTCTGACTCCCTGTCCTAGTTAGGACAGCTGGGACCAGTTCATCACTGGACGGGTGTAACCCAAAACTGTGTACTCTATAGCCTTCCATGCCATTTCCCAAAAACTGTTATCAATGAACCATTTACACTATGTGCACATAGAGCCTGACTCCTCAGGCTATAAACTAGGTGCTAAGAGGCCTGCCAGATAGGAGTTACTCTTGTCCTCACACCCTTTAAGGAACCCCCCACCCTGAGGGAGGTACTGGGCGTTCCTGCCTGAACTGGAGAATATATAATCTTGGAGTCTTGGGACCTTTTTTAACCACTTGTGGGATCTAGAGGAAGACTGCAGACCACCACTCTCAACCAGACTGCAGACCACCACTCTCGACTGGACTGCAACCACCACTTTTCAACCAGACTGAAACCTTCACTCTCGACCAAACTGCAATCACCACTTTTGACAAGACTGCAACAGCACTCTCACCAACAGGTTTTTCCCTCTCCTTTTCCTCTGGACTCAGGGGGCCCAAAGAACACCACTTTGTTCATGCCCCAGGGTGCTGGGTTATACACTTGGGTTTTGTGGGTTAAAACCAATTGTTCGTCTGTATAATCGTACTTATTGTATTATTTTATTAAATTGTTATTCTGATTTATAATCTCTCTTTTGAGTTGAGTTCGTTTCCCCTGCTGGTTTACCTTTAAACCAGCACACTCCCACCCCTCCTTTAGACCTAAAGAGTGCATCCATTGTGGATACATGGCTTAATAAGGAAGAAAATGTTTCTCTGCTGCGAAGTCTTGCTACCAGTTCACACTGGATTCTGTCTGTCAAAAATCTTCGAAAACCTCTGGCCAGAGGCAGCTTTTAGTACAAGCTGTGTGATTAACCTGAAACTGTGTCCCTGCCAGCTTTCCCCATGCAACAGCTAGAGTAGAACATCACGTAAACTGACCTCAGTGTGTGCGGTGTCAGATTCCTGACATGTCCAGAGAAGGGTAACCGAGCTACAGAAGGATCTGGGAGCACAGGCCTTGTGCTCCCAGGATGAGGAGCAGCTGAGGGAATGGAGGTTGTTTACCCTGGAGAAAGAGGGGCTCAGGGGGCACCTTCTTGCTCTCTACAACTACCTGAAAGGAGGGTGTAGCCAGGTGGGGGGGTTGGTCTCTTCTCCAAGGTAACAAGGGACAGGACAAGAAGAAATGGCCACAAGTTGCACTAGGGAAGGTTTGGATTGGATATTGGGAAAAATTTATTCACTGAAAAGATGGCCAGGCTGGAAGGGGCTGCCGAGGGCAGTGGTAGAGTCACATCCCTGGAAGTATTCAAAAGGCATGTGGATGTGGTGCTTAGGGACAGGGTTTAGTGCTGGAACCTAAAAGTTGGACTTCATGATCTTAGATAGAGGTCATTTTTAACCTTAATGATTCCATGAGATATGGAGCTTTCTCCTTTGTGTCCCTCCTGCTTAGTGACTGCAATGTCTGTGATGAGCTAAACCCCATTTTATTACAAGGGTTTTAAGGTGTTTGGGGATTTGAATACTGGTCTAGCCAGTTGTGTGGCTGTTCACGTTAGCACAGTTGGCAGCGTAGCAGAGTCTTGTTGAACTTCATGAGGTTCACGTGGGCCCGTTCCTCCATCCTGTCAGCAAGTTCAACAAGGCCAAGCACAGGATACCTTACTGATATAGCTGTAGCAATCTCTCTCCATGTTTTAAGGCATCTGATGGAACGGTCTTGCAGGACATCTGCTTACTGTGGAACACGCTTAGAGCTGTTTTTATCTTGTAGAGTGGTTCCTATTTCACATTTTCTAATGAAAAATTGCCTAAAAGTCCATTTGTGCCCCTGAATTGTTAAGTGAAGGAAGAACCAAAGAATCTGCATATTATCTGAGAAACAACATGTTTTTCTGTGCCTTCTTATGCATTTGCATCGAAACAGATGCAAAGGGAGGGTTGAAGGTGCAGCCTTGTGTGGAGTTTTATGTAATAAATAGTTCTGTAACTGTTTTCATAGAATCATAGAATATGCTGAGTTGGAAGGGAACCCAGCAGGACTGTCAAGTCCAACTCCTGGCCCTGCACAGGACACCCCAGTAATCCCATGATGTGCCTGAGAGCGTTATCCAAAGGCTTCTTGAACTCAGACAGGCTTGGTGCTGGGACCAGTTCCCTGGGGAGCCTGTTCCAGTGCTCAGACACCCTCTGGGGGAAGAACCTTTTCCTGATAACCAACCTAAACCTCCCCTGACACAACTTCAGGCCGTTCCCTCTGGTCCTGTCAGTGGTCACAGAGGGCAGAGATTGGTACTGCCCCTCCACTGTCCCTCCTGAGGAAGCTGCAGACCTTGATGTGTCTCCCCTCAGTCTCCTCCAGGCTGAACAACCCAGGTGCCCTTAGCTGCTCCTCATACAGCTTCCCCTCCAGACCCTTCCTCGTGCCCATGGCCCTCCTTTGGACACTCTTTAATAGCTTGATGTCTTTTTTATGTTGAGGTGCCCAGACTGCCCCCAAAACTCAAGGTGAGGCCACTCCAGTGCAGAGTAGAGTGGGACAATCACCTCCTCTGACTGGCTGGCAATGCTGTTTTATTTTATTTAGTTATTAGTGTCTCTTCTTTCCCCAACACTTCCTGTCAGGTGAAGTGTGTGCTGCCTTTGCTGAGCAGGACCAGAAGGGGTGAGCCCTAGAATTCCTCCTGCTTCTTTTTCTCCATCTGAGGGAAGGTCCAGCTGTAGCTCTTCCCACTGGCTGCACCCTTCCCTGTCAGCTGGTTAAGGGAGAGGTTCCTGCAGGCACTTGTTTCACAGAGTCGCACAGTGAACACAGTCTGGTTGCCCGTCCTTCCCCATTTCAGTTGAAAGAAACAATTCCAGATGATACAGTCTGTCTGAATCTCTCCATGTCCTATTTTTACCAGGAAAATGGCTTTGAATGCTAAACCTGACTCAGAGAAATAAGGAAAACTCAGTACTTCTACCAACAAATCCATGAAATGCATTATCTGTGAGGAGGGGGGAAGGTGGGGCTCTGCATGTAACAGATTATAGTGCTTGCTGTAATCCCTGAGAAACAGCAAACAACTCCATAGCTCATTCTAGGTACTGTCTCACACCTCCTCCTGTGTGCAAGTGGTCTGCTGCCAGGGCTGCAATGGCACCTGACAGTGGCATATTTGCCTGTCTGCTGTGGAAGCCTGTCCCTCTGTGCTTTTGTCCCTCTGTCCTCTGAGCATCTTTAAATCCTTTTTTTTTTTCTCCTCTCTTTTCCCTATTGTTGTCCATCCCCTCTCCTCTCCCCAGCACCCCATCAAGCCACTGCTTTGACTTTGAGGGGAAATGCAGCATAAAAAGCTGCCTGTGGCAGGTGCGGTTGGAACTAGATGATCTTTAAGGGCCTTCCAACCCAAGCCATCCTCTGATTCTGCAATAAAATGCAGGGTCGCCACTGAATCCATCCACTGAGAATGTAATAACAAGTACAGCCGAGCAGAGCTGGCTCCTCTAAGGAGCTGAAAGAGCAGATATGAAGGGATAGGGTAAAAATGTTCTCGTAAAAGAAATGCCAGGTACCAAAATCAGCACAAGAGGGGTTATAGGAACCAGTAGTTGGAGATGGAAAATTTCCCTAGGGAACGTTAATTTGTCTACTAGCTAATATACAGTAAAAAGGCAAGAAAATTAAGGTAGATTAATTTTTTCTTGCTTTTTGCATAAATTACAAGCACCAGGTAAAATCCAACTCTTTCAGATCTAGATCTTTCACTGTGTAATACTGCAGAGATACTGAACTACTGCTTTTTGAAATTTCTCAAAGGACAGGGTAGTCAAAGGTAATCCTATTAGCAGGAAAGGAAAGGATATTTTGGGGAAAATCTCTTTCAGATACAGGCCTATAAGGCATTGTCAAAGAGCATAGGAATGTTTCGGTATTCTGTCTCCCTTTGTAAGCCCTGAGGAGAGAATTTATCCATTGGTAAATATGAATTACTTTTGGTCTCAGAATAAATCTCATTCCAGAGATTTGTTGCTGTTTAAGCTGTTGTAGAAATGCTGTTCTGTTCTTCTCATTGCCCTTTATTGGAACTGCAATATCCACACAAATAACTCTTGTGCATGTATTTTTGTTGTTACACTATAAATTTTTATCCTGTGTGAAAGGCAAGGCCGACTGTCCAAATTGTGCTGTGGACTCTGTGGAGTCTACTTTGGTGGTTCACCTTGGTGGTGTCCGTGGTTTTGTAAGAACCTTAAAAATATTTGCTGCAGAAAGTAAGAAAACAGCTCAGAATGACACCTCCTCGTGTCCCCAGTACCTTGTTTTTAGGTTGTGATGGCAAACCTGTCGTGGTTTAGGAACGGTACTCTCCAGTTTAGTGCTCCCTCTGGTACAGAATAACCTCCAGGTCCTTGCCATGGCTCCTCCTGGCTACTGCAAAAATTAGCCCTGTCCTGGCCAGAACCAGGACAGTTCCCAAGGGCACTGTTTTTGCAAGGGCACATCCCTTTCTGCCAAGCGAGTCACAGATCTGTGTGCTTTCCCCGCTGCACATGAACTGAGGATGGGCTCCCAAGGGAATGGATCTGTCCACACCATGCTGGCCCACCAGGAAAGTGGGTCATGTCCTGTTGGGGCTGCTGGGAAGCTCCGTCTCTCCCTCTCTCCATATCTCTAGTGCTCTTGCCGTGTGGAACATGAGCTGGATGGCAGAACCCTGCGTGTCACCCTGTACAGTCAGCGTGTGCTGAGGCTGGAGTCAAGAGCTGATCTGTGCTAATAACCTCATGTGCTCTGCTCGTGGCACTTTTTTGAAATCAGTAGCAGGCAAAGGTAGGAATGAAAAAATCTTCTGCCAGTGCTTTCCCATGCTATGCCAGGCAAGTGTTCTGTTTTTACAGCAAGCATCTTTCCAAGGATCACCCTCTTCAGGAGCATTGAAAGTAGGTGCACCTGTGAAAAAATCTGAATTTTTTGTTTTGGATATTGCAAATAATCATAAAATCATTAAGGTTGGAAGGAACCTTTCAGGATTATCTAGTTCAGCCTCTGTTTAAGCAGGATCAGATACAGCATGTTGTCCAGAACTGTGTCTAGT